CTTCGAGGCGGTGGCCCAGGACAGCCTGATGGCCGCCGTGAAACCCGCCCTCCAGCACCTGGTCAAGGTAAGGGCGAGGTAGGCCTGGGGTGAGGGGAGCAGAGAAGAGGAGAGGCCGACGGCGGCGTCCTCCTTGCAGGCCTAGGGGCAGCCGGACACTGAGGTGAACAGTGTCTTGAGGGTGAACAGTCTGTGGGGAAACTGCTGCAGAGGGGGGCCCTGGAGAGGCTGCGCAGCTCTCTGCCAAGCCGTGCATCGCCAGGGGTCACAAGCTAGCATAACAGTTTTGACCCACCCCACTCGCGTTATGAACTGGAGATATAATTTATAGCTACTGTGATTTAACACATGACTCCGCTTTCGGTTCCTTCCATTTTGTATCCATTTCAATAGGTGCTTGCTGAGTCCAATCCTGGCCGATACGGTTTCCTCTGGCACTGGTTTGATGAGATGTACGCCCTTCTGGACTTGCTGCTCCAGCAACACTATCTGGCCAGGTGCAGCGCCTCATTTTCTGAAAACTTCTATAGCTTAAAGAGGATACCGATAGGAGATTGCAGACAGCAACCTCTGGCCACTGCTGGCCTACCAAAGAGGCAGCACTGGAAGTCTCTCCTCTTGCTGGTTCTTGTTCCTTACCTCAAAGGAAAGCTAGAGAAACTGGTGTCCAGCCTGAAGGAAGAGGATGAGTACTCCATCCACCCTCCATCGTCATCCTGGAAGAGGTTTTATAGAGCCTTTCTAGCTGCCTACCCCTTTGTAAACATGACCTGGGAAGGCTGGTTTCTTATCCAGCAACTGTGCTATATCCTCGGGAAAGCTCAGCATCATTCACCCATGCTGCGGCTGGCTGGCGTTCGCCTGGTCAGACTGAATGCAGAGGATATCCAGGCCCTGGAGAAGAAATTGGCTGGAGCCACCTCAAGTCAAACACAGAGGTATGTCAGAACATGGTTTAGCTGCTGCTCTCTAGGGGGTTCTGTGGGTGCGTTAATTTAGAGTTGTTGCTGCAAGTAAAACTGTCTTGTTCTCCAGAAATTCTTCAACATTACCTCTGGCAAAATGCTCCAAAAGGGTATATCATTAGTGTAAATATGGAAACAAGTAGCAGGGATTAGCTTCACAAGACTTTGTTGTAATAAAATTGCAATGTTTGGGGGTCTTTTTTGGCACTCCAGCCTTTATCCTGTTCAGCCTTCACCTGCACTTTTCTAACAAGGGAAGTAGACCGCAACAGTATTGCTAGAAGAACTGAAACTTAGCTCTTTGATTTTTCTGAGCAGCAGCTAGTCATGACCTTAATGTCCTGTAAAATGATGATCCATGAGCAAAACGCTCTGTGGTCCAGGTCACCTCAATCCAAACTCTTCCAATTTAGACTTCTAAACAAAACAGGACTTGAAGCTTTCTTAAAATACAAAGAATCCGAGAGAAACATCCTAGCAGATGCATCATTACAAACATGGGATACGTTGACCAACTTAATTAGCATTAAGAAGCTGTATAAAACAGTGACTTTATCCCCAAGTCCTTTTTGTCATGGTTTGCAGATGGACAAATGTGTAGTAGTAACAATTTCTCCATACCTTCTCTCTCTGCTACAGCATTAAAACACAAGTGCAGTCAGCAGTGAGGAAAGCACTGGGTGGCATTGCCATCTCCCTGTCCACCGGGCTGTCCGTCAGTGTGTTCTTCCTCCAGTTCCTGGAGTGGTGGTACTCCTCAGAAAACCAAGAGACAATCAAATCTCTGACAGCGCTCCCAACTCCTCCACCCCCTGTGCACCTCGACCACGGGGCCAGCTCAGCTCTCTTACCCAAACTGAAGACCGTGTGCCCTCTGTGCCGCAAAATTCGCGTTAATGCCACGGCCCTGTCCACGTCCGGCTTTGTGTTTTGCTACCGCTGTGTGTACAGTTACGTGAAGACTCACCAGCGCTGCCCCATCACAGGCTACGCCACAGAGCTGCAGCACCTTGTCAAACTGTACTCTCCTGAGAGCTGAAAGGCCTCCCGGCGCTTACAGAGAGAGACATCTCTGAAGGTAGCGGCTGGGTAGCGCTGAGCCTAAATTTGCCTCTTCTTATGTCACATAAAAGACTTTTGACCACTCCAGCTCATCAGTGAGCTCTAAAGCTCCTTTGAACTTGGTGGTACCTCAGTTTTGCTGCCTTTGCAAATTCTGGTAAGGCTCTCTCCTTTGTTTATTAGCTGTTCAAGTGTCCTGTGACAGTTTCAGAGGGTTTGGACAGCCACAATCTGTTGGCCAACACAGAAATGCTTTCAAAGACCAACCGAAAGGGAAGAAACATTGATTTGGATAAGATGAATGCAGATGTGAGGATCAAAGAGCCTCACTGGTAGAAGTCCTGCTCGAGGGCATGAGCCAGCAAATTAAAGAGGTAGGGAAAATTCTCCAGGCGAGTTATTCGTCCCTCAGCAGCTTCCCCGTCACTCGCGCTGCCTGGGGCAAGCTCTGGCACTAGTGCTTGTCAAAGAGGTAGAGGCAGGCTTAAACCTCTGCTCTGATCATGCTGTTCTTCAGAGTCTCCCTGCGTTTTCGGGCCACTCACCTTTGAATTGAGACATCACACCCCTAATTCCCATGAAGAGTTCTAAATTATCTGCATGAGGGAGAAAAATGACAAAGCAGATTAAAGCAGCAACTGTGCCAAATGATGAGAGTTGTTTTTTATTAAATAAGTCTTTGCATCTGTTATTATCTGCTTTTATAAAGCAAAATTCTTTCTTGATCAAGACCTTAAATCTTTTCTGGTTATGGGAAAAAGAGAGTTTGCTCCTCTAGGGGCTCTATTTACGTAAGGGAGACTAGACTAAAGCTGCTTTCAACTTTGCAGGTGACAACAATGGATATAAGAGTATTTTGTAGGCTGAGCATCTTTAATGTCTGTGTTTAAGTACTACACTGCAATTATTCCAGTCCCGACCATGTAGCACATTCATACCATAACAAAGCATGCTTTCGTTGAACAGAGGAGAAAAGAAAACGTGTACATCATGGCTGGTTCTTGCTTGGCACCTGATTTTTCACGATGGAAGGTTTTTTCATGACTTGGCTCTGGGGAGCAGCAGTTAGCTACTCCAGACATCATGGTGACATTGCTTATAGAATACGGAGAGCAAAGTTTGCTGCACGAAGTCTTTTGCTGCAAAAGGTCTTTCCAGATTAAGAGATAAGTTCTAACATTTAATCCACTGAACCAGTCATCTCATTTTCCCCCCTACTTTAGCTCTGCCTCAGAAGATAAAAATCTCTAATATCCTCCCTCACCTGTAAGCAAGATAGCAAGGTTATTGAATAACGTGGAAAAATACAGTAATTTGCATCCTCCCAAAGATGCTCTGGAAAACACTGTAACAAATGAGATTTGTCTCCAATGCTTGTCTTAGCTCTATACAACTTCCAGACCCTTCTACCTCTGCCACTATGGAATAATAACAAAAATTGTCTCATTTCTTCTTTCTCCCGTCATTAAGGGATCCATAAAGACACCTCTCCTCCTTTTGAGAGCCAGTAAGAGCACACACATCTTGCTGAAAAAAAAATAAATAATCACATCAAGGTGCAAGATTGGATGGGATTTCAAATCACTTTTAACATAGCTGGCTTTGGGCTGGATATTAATTCACATCACTTGCTGTATCAGTTTTGCTTCATACATGGAGATCATCATTTCTGTGAAAAACCAGCATCCAAGATGCTCCACTGCTGCTGCACGGTCTTACAATAACCTGTCTGATTAGACAGACATGGGCCCGATTGTCCTCTTGACTCTAGTGCAACTGCTCATATTTAAATAAGGGCTGAAGTATTTGATGATTCAGTTTCAGGATAGGTTTACTGTCCTTTCATCCTTCCTGTACTTCCCAAATTATGTGTCTGCTGCTCAGCAAGAAGCTGGGCAGACCTGGGACCAGGGACTGAGCGATGCTGACTCACCCGCTAGCACCGCAGAGCTCTTGGGCAAGTTCTGCACCATCCTCCCCTCTAATCCAGAAGGATTCACTAACTTCTGAACAGCACAACCAAGTTGCCTCCACGCACGCTGCTCCAGGGCCTCCACACCTCCTTCTCCCAGGGTTAATCATTCTTCCTCTTCCCCAGAGGAGCCATCAGATGCCCACCTGTCAGGCCCTGGCTGCCTTCCACTCCCCCTCTCCCCACACCACGCTGCACAAGACCCTGTCCCTGCCAAACTTGGCTTTTGCCAACTCCACCCCAGCTCCGAGACCTGCACAGAACCACGCACATCTAAGCCTCGCAGTTCTGAA